AGGATATAGTACAGAAAGAAAGAATTAGTTAGAAAGATATGACACAATTCTAATCTCATAGTTTAAGGTAAAACAAGGAGTGTATACACCTACAACATTGTGATCGATTCTGAGCCATGTCACCAAGGGTTTCTAACCTTTGGTTACGATAGTCACTCAGACCCCAACAAAGTAGTCTGCATCTCCTAACATGGCCCAGACTAGAAGTTAGTAACTCCAAGCACTGATGCCACGTTTTGGTTTGGCCGCCTCTAACTTTCTTCCAACCATTCCCAATACTCGTCAGAATTGCGCGTCGTGGTAATCGATGTTCAGGCATACATAACACGTGGTCCAGCTATCTCAGTCGATGAAGATTCACAACCTCATCAACTGATTTACCATCATCCCCTAATACCCTGTGTTTAACCTCACTATTTCTTACCTGGTAATCCCAGCAGATGCGAGCAATATTTATAAGGCATCTATGGTCAAATACTAGTAACTTACGAGTATCTTCTACTCTTAATAGCCACTTTTCGTAGCCGTAAAGTAGAAGTCCGAATTGATTCTATAAATCAGCATTAGAAAAATTTCAAATTATTACGTTCATAAACTCCAGAACATCCGTAATAAGTTCCCAGTGAACGATGCCAAAGCACTAACCAACATACAGACCTACTACACCAAACTATTATATTTTCGACAGACCTTGGGGAATGATGTCATCCTATCTATGACAATGTGTGCAAATAGGAATGATTACCTAATAATGTTGTATGGGGACACAGATGCACTTGTAAAGTATATGTCAGTGTACTTCACGTACACTTAATTTACAATAGAGCACTTCAATATCCCTATAGTACTAGAGGGAAAATCTGTCAGTAGGATTGGAAACTTTTCGAAAATACTTAGTTTCACTTCACTGTCACTACTCCTGCATCTTAAATTATATGGATTTAATTGGTGTTAACAGATTGTTTCTTGATTGTTTGTAATTTCACTATTTACGTTCATATAAAACATGATATAGCACAAACAAATGCATTCTATGGTAAACAAAATGTCAGTATTATAAGTTAAATACTCCCATCATATATTATATTGATTTATAAAGTCTATTAGTTTCTAAAGATTCAATACCAATCAAACCAAATTAGTCGAAAACTCATGAAATATGTTGTTTCTTTGAATATAGTTTATTTGCAATATGTTTTTTACTACTGAGATATCGTTTCTGAACTTGTGTATAGCCAGGAGCGTAAGAAGCGGCGTTGTATGGGAGAACGGAACTTAATTTTTACTCAAAAGATTTGTCAACTTACGAAAGATACAGCCCTGTCTCATTATCATAATCGGTAACTGGTTTAAAATATCCAACTTCTTGCAACATATAGATTGTTATATGAGTTCTCCAGAATTAAAGAATGTGAAGTACTCAAAAGTTAGTTACAAATTTTTTGCATGATACTGAGTATACTTATTAGCTATTTATTTGTTCTCATAGCTTATAAAGATTTTTCAAATGTGGCAGTGGAGCTGGTCATAAAACTTGTAAGGCATTGTCCTTTAGATGTTTAAGCATCGTGTTATCGTAGTAAATGTAGGATGTCACTCATTCTTGATTACACCTTAGGAAATGATAGCTTTCGTTTTTGTCTTATTGATCATATATACATCGTCTTTTGCAATAGACAATTTGTAATCGTCCCTTCAGTTACAACCAAGCAGTTACCAGCTTAGTTGATTATCAGCTTAGAATCAATATTTTTAGCTACATTTCAGCATTTATTCCTACTCATATCTTCTCATTTATGTGGACACGGGGTGTCGTCCGCCTAGGGGAGTTAAAAAAACCTGATTCCAAACCAGTGGTGTATATGGGCTCCAGGATCTTGAAGGAACAAATGGGCACCGGATACTATGGGACTGCATCTTCTGACGTTGCCCCACTGCCTTGCGTATCAGACCTTTAGGTCGAAGACTCCGAGTGTGACCCTTCAAAAGAAAACCACCTGCTTCGGTCTGGACACCCGGACAGTATCACAGCCCACACATAAATCAAGTGACTTGTGTGGCGCATATGTATTCGGTGGCCCTTTTTACCAATATTCATTTGTTCAAATAAATAAGTAGAGACCTTACCTATGAAGCAGCCCAAAATACTGTACTATATTTACTCATAATTACATGTGTACAATTGCTTAATACTTTCATGGATCACTTAATAAGTCATCCTTTTTGTGCTATGTAGAACCTCCATGTTGCCGTGCAGTATGCTTGAGTTGCTTCCATGCGCATAGCATTACTGAAAAAGCTATTCGAATTAAAAAGAGAGTTGCTCGTCGTCGCTCATCAGTTCAAATTGATCAAGTAACATGAAAACAAAATAATACTTAACTGTTAGATATTCATCTGCAAACTGTGTGGTGCGAGAGAAGTGTCTCACGGATTTGTACCCAAAGAATACAAGTGGTAGGTAATATGAAATTTATTTATGTGGTTTACCAATGATATTTTAACTGGTTTTTTTGGGAGGGGTGCGGTTACTGAAGCTACTTGCGATCTACAGATAAACCTATTAAGTACCACATTTTTTAAGTAGTGATGATTCTCCCGAGATAACTTTGTCTTTTTTTCAGTTCCCCTCACCTATAATATAATAATCCTACTTGTACTCTGTAGTAACTCTAAAACGTCATTAGTTAGACGCATTTTTTCACAACTCTGATTTATGTGGTGTCGTTCCAGTCAGTTCAATAAACTGAAAACCTGACAGAATTACATGATATTTCCAGTTATGATTTACTCCTTTTTTAAGGCATGATAACAGAGGTGTAAGCAAGATAATTGACCAAAATATGAATCTGATTCTGGTGCAGGGAATGCAAATTAATTTTTAAAGCATATGATTGAGATTCCAGCTATACTATTTTCACATAGGATATTGGATGATCTCTTCACTTTAAAATATATTAGTTGACTGTAGATTACTGAACAGTATGCACATCTTATGTTAAGGAGATAAACATATGGTTTGTGCAAGAGGTACTGGGGGTGCTCCTTTTTTGTACGTGCCCTGTGGTTATGTTAGTTACGAACACGACATTATTGCTGTTACTCTTCAAATAAATGGAACGGTAGATGTTTTTAACTAAATCGTTTTCTTACAGTTAAACTTGGGGTTCAGGTGAAATAAATTGTGAAAAAGTATTCGACGTTTAGTAGAATGATAAACTCGAGTCGTATAAAAATAAAGAGAATTCAAGTCGTATATTTGCGCTTATTCACTCGAGGAGGGGAAGAAAAAATATTAGGTAGCATACCGGTCTTGGGCTGTTGTGAAAATCCTCCTATCACATGAAGGTAGGTGGTAAGCAAACGTTTCCTGGCCAAAACTTCAAGTGTGTGGTTTTGCCGGTGTTTTTATGGAAAAAGTGGTTTATAGTTATTCACGAAACAAATCTATTTTTAAATTGCATATTTCCATATATATATATATATATATATATATAAGATTTAAAATTCCAAGTTCCTTGCCAGATTTCAATAACAAACTATTATCATAATAGTATCAGTAATAATTTGTAAAGTTCAAATCATAACAAAGGTGTAGCGTAAAATCTCAGATCGTCCAATGGATGCTTATAACCAAAGAGAAGGAAAATAAGCAAATAAACATTATCTTCTGTTGTAAATTAAATGGTTTGAAAAATTTATCTTTAAAATTAGAGATACCAGGAAAACCAAGTGAATAAACCTCGATGGAAAGTTTAAAATGATAAATAAGTTTACATAATGCAACAAGTCGTATAATTCGTACTCGATATACTTAATTTATACATTGAAGTTAGAAAACCCGGAATTTTCACTGGTTCAAGTATTCTGTAACCGTACATTGAGATATCAAGATAAACCCAATGAAATAGCCTCAAGATTGCTGTTGTAATAGTTAGTGTGATATTAGACTGACTTAAATGGTTTGTACAGAGTCTTACATCTGTATAGGATTGTCTACGTCGTGAGTTGATACACTTAGATCAATAGTTCTCACACACCGAAAGACCTGAAATCGATCAAGTTTGGGGCTGTGGACATATTTATGAGGAACCCCAAACTATTGTGAAGATGTTGCTCAATTTACTCTGGTTTTTAGTGGCTCTAAAGTTGCTATCATTTTATGATCATATCTTTCCTCAAACTCTATCATATTCTTTCAGTATCATAAACCCGCCTAATTTAGCGATCCATCGTAAACCAGAAAACAATGGACAGCCGCTCTGTCATAGTATGGTATTCCTCAGCATTGCACTTCTACAACCTCACCGGGGATCAAACCCAAAACTCCTGGTCTCGCGGCAGAAATCCAGCTTCTAGACTATTCAACCGGGATTGAATGGTGTATATATGTAAAGTCCGCCGATCCGTGATATCTTGCAACTGCCTTCCATCGCTTTTAATCAATGTTTAACTTGGGTCGGCTTGTGATATTAATAATCTCCACAAACCAACCATACATACTAACCTAGCTTATGCATTGACTATACTCCAGTATCCTTTGTTTCATTTTACATTTAATTTCTAAAATAATTCCTCATCCCTATTTAAAACCTTAGCCCAATGAAGAAAAGTACTTCACAAGAAACATCTGTCACAGAAACAAAGAAAAAAACAAAGTTGGTTTTTTCCTATTTCTACTCATTAATCAATATTATTTTTAATAGGAAAAAGAAAAAGTCTAAAATGAATATTTTCAAGACAGAGATCGTTCATACTACGACGATGCCTATCAAAAATAAGCCAGTGTCATCTGTTAATACATTTACAACATTTATGTCATCTTTATGCTAATTTATGTATGTACAGAATCCTTTTACGAAAGTACAACTTTCCAAATACAGTCCCAGTTGATTTTACTTTTTTTTTTAAAATATCAATGGATTTTAACTATTAATTTAGTTCGTTTTTTTGTTGCTTCAGTAATTTTTATGACTAGTAAAAGTGAAATTAGACAAAAAATGCGAAGAATATTGAGACAAATATTACCATCGGTACACATGAAGAAATCAGAATGTCTCTTAAGGCAGGTAAGATGATGATTTGAAAGTATATTACACATACCTACGTCTTTTGGTTAACTCTTTGCTTTAACATACAATAAGTTACACAGAATGTCTGGCTTTTCGTAGTGGTTGAAACAAGCCATGTAACTGAACAATGGAATGACTTCCTATCTGCACCTTTAGTTCACTTCTACTTAGTAAAGGAGAAATTGGTGAAGACTTGATTGTATTAAATTGTTTTGTTTTGAATAATTTCTTAAATAAGCCTGTAACAGTATATTTTTCCAGATTATATAACTGTGTCGGTCTAGACAGCGACTGGTTTTCGCATGAATCATGTGATTTTTGCCTACAATGACAACGGCTCCAACTTTTCTAATCACAGTAGGTTAAGGTGTCCATCCCATTACTGCTCTAATTGTCATTTATATTTCCTGTGATTGAGTACATAGTACACGCACACCTGTCTGATATGTATAGTACATTAACTAGTCTGTTGTAAAACGATGGATATAATCCTTCTTAGTAAAAAATAACCGTTAGGACCCGTTTATCATCAAACACTACCGGCAATTATCATTACAACAGGTGTACAACAATATAGTCAGGCTTTTATTCTGACAAGCAAGACTGTTTGTGTTTACAATGTTTCTTCCATGCGAATCCTATTATACTGGGAATATTATAGTTCGAGAATGTTTTGCAGTTTTCTCCAGCCCTAATATTAGAGTTCGGCTGCTAACCAATCCATAACTCTTCCAATTTAAGACTTAACAAAATCCACAATATCAATTATTATAAGCTTACCACTACTAATCGATGGCCATTTTTTGAATTGATTTTCATAATTAATGATTAGCTGACGACAGTTTCTCAGTGTTTTCGATGAGAAATTTCACCCAGAATCATAATGCTATCACTCTGGATTCCATTTTTTGTACGTAAGTGTATCTTATAAAAACTCAACTACATTTTTATCCTAATATTTTTCTAGTTTTTAAGTAGTCCTGAATATTGTGCTGCGCGAAGACTAGCTGTTTATATTAGCCTCCCTGAAGAACCCAACACAATACCAGTAATTGAAAAAGCACTTCTTGATGGAAAGAGTATATTTGTTCCACAAATTATGTTTTCTGCGTCAGACGATTCTCCTCCTATGTCTATGCGTCATGTTAAATCACTAAAAGAGATTGAATCCTGGAAGTCTAATAAATGGGGAATTAAAGAACCTGAACCAGTTTCATATGTTGAACAGCTGGATGAAATTAAAAGTCAGGGTAAATACTGTATCTAATTGTATATTGCTAAGGTTAATAACAAACTTTGCTTGAATTATCAGCTATGTTGATTGATAGAAGCTACAAAGAAACAGACTTCTTAAACCAAGAGTTCCATTAATTTGAGTAGGGATACGTGGATGGAGTTAATGGATTAGTAGTTTTCTTTTAGGCTTGTATAAATGGATGGACATTAACCAAAACAGCAGTGGTTCTAAACCATAGAATAGCAGCAAATTCGGCTTATATACAGGTTTACATACATGACAGTGATAAAACTCCTAACCAGAAAACGAAGTAACATTTCGGTTACGAGATAAGCAGATGTACAAATATTCATAGTGATTAAAAAATCTGACCAGTATTTAAAAGCCTTATCTAAGTTTCAGACATTTTGCAAATGATAAGAAACAGACTACTGAAATTAAGCTGTTCGATATGTTAATTATAATACGTGTTGTAAAGTTTGATAGTTAAGTTCAGATTCACTTTATCTATCAGGGTCGATGAGTCAGGATACACTGACTTAACACATTAGTAATTTACGAACGTATAGGAGATTCACATGTTACTTGCCGTCATTTTTCAGTCTTTGTTAACACAGTATGTTAGCAGCTCCAAACCTTACACTCACAGATAACAGCATTTTTACAAACTGACTGATTGTTATCCCTTAACAGAAATGTGGTTTTTTACATTAGTTTATTCTGAAATAGGTCTTTTCAATGGGATTTTATCGAGGGAAGCTTCTTGGTGTTATATTCGTTGGTCGCTGTTTATACCCGTTTAGAGCATATCGTCCATATTCTAACTGCTTCTTTTACAGGTGGATTGGATTTATTTGTTGTGCCTGGTTTGGCCTTCACACGAAGTGGACATCGTCTTGGTCGAGGTGGCGGATATTACGACCGATACATACAATGGTACAGTGGACAGTGTCATTTAGGTACTTTTCAAAGAGCTAAATTAGTCGCCTTTGCATTTGAGGAACAAATAATAGACCATATTCCTTCAGAAACTCATGATTTAATTATTGACCAGCTGTTTGTAGCATAAATATGTACGTATGTATTCAGATAAATATATTGCAAGAAAGACTACACCTGTTTTTTAGCCTTTATGACTGAAGTCCAGAGTTTATGATAAAATGTCAAAACACATTGCTGATAGAGTCCCAGTACAATAAAAGATATTCACTTATCACTAGTCAGTATTCCTTGGTATAACAAACGTTCACCTGTGGAAAGCATTTAGCTACTCCAAACCCAAGGTCTCATACCACAATGGGGTAACAGTACCGCGATGTTGGACACAAATAAACATATTTCAACTATAATTTAAGTAACTGGAAGCCTCTTCATAGAACTTGTTAACTAAGAAATGCTGGCAAACAACTGAGGACCAAGTCATATGAGTTAATGTTGCCGAAAATATATGCACGCAATGAGTTAATATACTCGGAAAAGTAAAAAACAGTGATGAGGGACACTTCTGCGCAGTGTTCACGGTATGTTCGAGCAGATACAATATTTAATCCATGCTAATCGTCTAACGATCACAACGATGTTATTAAATTTAGGTGGTATATCTTTTAGAATGGGGAAGCGCAGTAAATCAACGTTTTTGACGCAGTCAAATAACCAGCCCCAGAATCTGATGCGACGTCCTCAGTATGCACAGCGTGTCCCGTATTTCGTTGATTCTCTTAACTAGGTAATTTAACAGCCCCTAATTGATAGAAGATACCTCCTGCCCCAAAATGCCTTGGTTTGGCCGAGAGTCCGCTCTCCCTTTCGAAATGCTCTTACACGGCCATGCGTATATACCCTATGCCAGGGAAGTCCTACTCACTGCCTTCTCGCACCACGGGTGTTTTTTATGAAGTTGAGAGGACGACAAGAGAATATCCGGCGCTTTAACCGGGTTGGTGGACACGAAGGGTCTACCTAGGGGAGTTTGAAAACGCTGATTCCAAACCAATAGTGCACATGGGCTCCAGTACCCTGTGGGAACAAATGGCGCATGAACTCCGAGTGTGACCCCCTGAGAAAACCACCTGCTTTGGTCTGGACACTCGGGCAGCGTGGTGCACATGTATTTGGCGCCTCATTGTACGAATATCTGTGTTCAAATAAATAAATGATAGAAGAGTGAATCTTCCTTTCGGTGGCCGTCTAACCTACTCATGTGGTAACATTGAATAGCTATGAAAACAAGTTTCCGCCAATACCAGTAACAGCGAGAACTAAACCAACCTCCCTATTTTGGGAGAATGCCACAAAACCCCCAAAATGTTTGAGTTTCCCGTAATATATCCATAGAAACTTATAACACTATTTTTCTTCAAAATAGGGAGATTGGTGAAATGGACAGCAGATAGAGAGAAGAACATGACCTGCCGATAACGACCAGTGGAGCTAATTAACCATATGGTAGGAGATCAGTTGACAGGTGAGCGGAAATCTTAGAGCTGGTGTGGTTTGTTATATGATTTCTGCAATAAAGACTATGCAGATCAGAAGCCAACAGGCGACAATAGCACATAATAGATAATACGGATACAGGCAAAATGAGTCTCATTTGTCACTGGTTTACCTCACATTAACATGCTATACGAACGTTCCAGCGATAAGAACATCATATGAAAGTCTTTTTGGTAACCATTAACTCACAAGCTAGATGTGGAACTTAAGAAAATAACACCAAGTATTCCCATTACTACTAAAAACAAGGATTCATTTCTCGGTGACTTTGTCCAAAAATCATCAAACGCCAAACTTGGGATGCTGAAGACGCATTAAAAATTTGTAGTCCGCGTCGATGAGCGAAGAAAAAAGCTTTTAAGACCCTGCATTTGACTTAGGACACAAGAGAGATTTACAACCTCATCAACTGATTTACCATCATCCCCTAATACCCTGCGTCTAACCTCACTATTACCGACCCAGTGATCCCAGCAGATGCGACCAATATTTCTAAGATATCTGCGATAAAATACTAGTAGCTTATCAGTATCTTCTACTGTTAATGACCACGTTTCGTAGCCTTAAAGTAGAACATAACGAACTGCTGTGCAATATACTCGTCCCTTAATGGATAGACGGATATCTCGATGGGAAAGTCGATAGTCAACTGACAAGTGATCTGCTTTGGGCTTGTGAACACTTTTGGAGAGTCTTCGTAAGTGTATTATTTATAAGACATCCCAAATAAGAAATAGAATATGTACCGGATACAAGATTTGGCTGATAAACAAGATGATGTCGATAACAATGAGACTTGCTTTTTCCATTGACTTAGTAACGGAACATAGACTTGAGTATTCCCGAGGTTAACCTCATGGTAGACAGAATGACAGTAACTGGGAGGCATTATTTTATTTGTGAATACATTTTAAGGATTGTAGAACTATTTGTCTGTGAAAACCAAACCCACTATAAGTATTAGTAGAATACTAAGTTATATTACCTATGAAAATAGCTGTGACCGAGAGTGCGAAACTGACTAGTTCTTTACGGAAGTGTTGAACCGCCATTCTTTCCATTTCAACGGCTGATACTCTACTATACTCTGAAGGAAACTGAAACATCTGGAGGTTGATAAGGATCGCACAGCGAAAGTTTTTAACCCAACGCCTAATAAGTTCAATAGTTTCAAGGTCATAACTATATATTTTTATGGCGAGGACATTCTGATTTCTAAAGAGAACAAATATTCCACTGTTTTACATTATTTTTTAGACTTATTCTTTTGAGAACTATTTAAAAGTAATTAAATCATCGGGGACACTTTGCTAAAGGTCTACAGACTAGGGAGTCTAGCCGACTTGAAACCAAATCATTCCAGACTGCTTAAAGTAGTATTCAACACTTCGAACGAACGTGACTTAATTTTACAGGTTGGACACAAATTAAAGGGTTCAGGAGTCTTTATCCGAAAGGACTTACCATTGGCAGTCCGTGAAAAAGACGGGAAGCCGAAAAAGAACTACAACTTAGGTTAGACGCTGGCGAAAACGACCTAAAAATTGTAAATTTCCGGGTTGTAAGGCTTCAACAGAGAATGATGCCGAAGCCATTCTGGGTGAAACACGAAGCCACTTAAATAAGCTTCGGGTCTGCTACACTAATGTCCGGAGCTTACTTAATAAGCGATCGGAACTAGATGTACAGATGGACTCTACAAAGCCAGACATAATCGCAGTTACAAAAACCTGGCTGACACAGGCTATAGATAGTATGGAATTTGATTTCGAGGGTTTTACGTTAGTAAGGGCCGACAGAACACAAAAGCGCAAAGGAGGGGGAGTAGCTTTATTCATTAGGAATGCTATCCCATTTGCCATTATCGAAAGTGTATCCTATGAGAATGGGACGTGTGAATTAGTTAGCCTGCGCTTGAAATGCAAAGGTCAAGAGATGCTGATTGATCTGGTCCATCGCAGTATAAGCTGTGAGATAAATGAGATCCTGTTAAGCAGTCTCAATACTTGGTCCCGAAGTGCTCGTTGTCTAATCCTAGGGGACTTCAACGCACCTATGATAGACTGGGACAATCTGCGAAGTGAATCGTCAGAATATTCCTTCGAGCAAGAATTAGTTGATGCGGTTATCACATGTGCCCTAGTGCAACATGTGAAAGAAGAGACAAGGTACGATCTGAACACTGAATCAACCTTATTAGATCTTATACTGACTCACTATGAGGATGATGTTGCGAAACTCCATCATATGCCACCCTTAGGTAAAAGTGACCACGCACTTTTAACTTTCGACTTCCATATAACTGCCAGTCATGAGAACGCGTCAGTCCAGTCCAGACCCAACGTCTGGAAAGCAAACATACCAGACATCATGCACTCAGCATCGTTAATAGATTAGACAATAGACCCAGAGTCCTCCATTGAAAGAGCCTGGGACGCATTTCGAAATTCATACTTAAAAGTTACCACACCCCACATCTCTTGGACTATACCAAGGGGGCCGAGAAACTCCCCACCATGGTTCAGTAGGGAGGTCCGCATGCTTCTCCGTAAGAGAAGAAAAATGTGGGATAGATTTAGGCTACTGGAGACTGATGAAACTAAATCCCAGTATAGAAAAGTTCGGAATACCTGTGCCTCGACCCTCCGTAAGTCTAGAAAATTGTACGAAGAAAAACTTGTTAAGGAATTCATAGAATGTCCTAAACGTTTGTTTTCTTATATAAACTAAAGGACAAAGAGAAGAGGAAATATTCCTGCTCTGTGTGGAGACAGTACTGCCACGTCACTAGTGGAGGACAACTATGGTAAGGCTCAAGCGTTCTCGAACTACTTTAGCAACGTATATACCATAGAAGCGCCCTTCCAGTCAGCGTATACAGATCCCCCCAAACATACACTGGATAGCGTGACCATTAAAGAACTCGATGTCTATGGTCTACTAAATAAGCTTGACATAGGTAAATCCGCGGGGCACGATGAATTACATCCTAGGCTACTGAAGGAATTATCTAACTTCGTTGCGAACCCTTTAAGTATATGCTTTAACCTATCCGTAACGCAGGGTCGTTTACCCAAAGACTAGAAAAACGCCATAGTAAGTCCTGTCTTCAAAACAGGTACGAAACGCACACTTCAGAATTACCGCCTTCTTAGCCTATCTAGTGTGGTTGTTAAAATCTTAGAAAATATTATTCAGAAGGAGCTATTTAAGTATCTCGATAAAAACCGGATCCTCTCGGAGAAGCAGTAAGGCTTCAGAATAGGTTATTCTTGTCTCACTGACTTATTAGTAGCTCGTGAAAGCTGGTGCGCTCCTAAGGACCAAAAGTCACCCGTAGACGTAGCCTTCATTGATTTCAGCAAAGCTTTTGACAAGGTTCCGCACAACGGGCTGTTATATAAGTTAAGAAATGTCGGGAATGTAGGCAATCTATTGATGTGGATAAAAGAATTCTTATTTGGGCGTCAACAAAGAGTTCGGGTGAACTCAAAGTTATCTTGCTGGGGAACTGCTTAGTGGAGTGCCACAGGGTACAGTTTTGGGGCCAGTGCTATTCCTCTTGTATGTAAATGACCTTCCTTGTCTCCTATCATCATCGGTCTTGCTATATGCTGACGATGTCAAGATATGGAAAACGATACGATGTAAGAGTGATAGCTTAGAACTTCAAAATGACCTGAAGAAGTTATCTGAATGGTCTCAAACATGGCAGTTGCCGATAAATACTTCCAAGTGTGTTGTGATGCATATCGGTCATCAAGGCACAGATACATACACGATGAATAACACTGAGCTACCTGTCGTCCAGACATATAATGACTTAGGAGTTATCGTTAGTCAAGACTTAAAGACTACTGCACACTGCCGTGCAATAGCCGCCAAAAGTTTTAGATCGTTATGGTCAATACGTAGGGCTTTTAGTCATGTCGACGCTAAGACGTTTTTGACTTTGTATACAGTGTTCGTTCGTCCTAAACTTGAGTACTGCATACAAGCGGCTAGCCCCTGCTTAAAAAAAGACAGTGAGCTTCTGGAAAAGGTTCAGAGAACGGCGACTAAGCTGGTTCCCGGAATAGCAAAGCTTCCGTATGAATCTCGACTGACCAAGCTGAACCTTTTCCCGTTATCATATCGCAGAACTATAGGCGACTTGATTACAGTCTAAAAATTGCTTAGTGATAAATTTGCTCCTAACATGCCCTCATTTTTCTTGTCTTCCAAAACAGAGAATTTACGAGGACACTCCAAAAAAGTTCACAAGCCGAGAACAAATTGCTTGTCAGCTGACTATCGACTTTCCCATCGAATCATCAACGAGTGAAATTCACCACCTCAGCACGTGCTTGAGGCTCTGTCCGTCGATTCTTTCAAAAGAAAGTTGGATCAACTGAGAGACCACCATTGCCAGGACTAACACAGGCTATCAGGCTTCCTATCCTTCCTAAACTCAAACTGAAATAAGTGCTCCATGGACAAACGTATAATTTCATGGAATTCATATGGATTTAAGTTATACCGCTATTAAAGACCTAGAAATGCTGGGCGGTCGTTTCATCATTATGAGATTTTTTAGCAGGGCAGATCTATGATCTTGCATACAGGACTTGAGGTCAGATTCTTTGAATGCGTGAAAACACTATAGACCACTACGAGCGAGTCTCATATCAAGACAAACTGTTGTTGTGTCTCCGGGTTGTCAATGTTGATCTGGCTTTTGTCAGTTCATGATCTCAACAATCTCCAAAACCTTTTACTGATAATTATAATCTGCTCATTATTGACTAGTTTCGAGAGGCAATTCAAGTGTAAAACCGTGATCGGCGGAAGCAGTTATAAATTGAAGGCAATAGATGATATTCGCGACATTGGATTGTTTGAAGTCAGACATTAACATTGTTGGGTCACTGCTCTAAGACCTGAAGGTTAAGCGTTCTCTCACGAGACCGTAGATCATATATTAAGGCCCTGTTTGCGGGATCGTGGATGCGCACTGCTGATGAGTTCTACACCAGAACGAAGATACCATTGAGTGCTTCCAGGTTTTTGATGATTGGTTAACTCAGATCAGTCCATAGTTTTAATGGAATTCAATAATATCTGCAACTCCTCACTAGAAATATACAATAGTCGTCCTACCTTTTATTTCGCACTAACTCCTGCTAAATTGTTGGCGTGTACTTGTAAACACATAGATTTTCATGAATATGTATATTTTTATCTGAATATTGGCGTCATATCATAATGCTGTTGTATTTGTCCAATAGATTTATTACAAGCCTGTGTAATATCTGTAGTATAAGCTTGATATTTGTTTATGCCAGTATTCTACCTTTTGTTTACTTGATAGGCTTGATTGAGGACGGGCCGGTCTAAATATACAACCTATTGAGCACAAATTTGATTGACGACGTATTTACTATTGCATTGGCGAAATATTTGTAAAGGGATTGTTTTTGGCCGCATTGGAATTAAGTGACATCACAGGTTTTGTTAGTAATTCAGATAGTTGTGGTAAGGAGACCTTGACTTGGTCGTCATTAAAGAAACTGTTTTTTATCTGTGTTGAGAATTCGTTCGTTATAGTTTGCTATCTTTCCGCTTACATATACTGAGTATACGTAATTTATGATACAGTCGAACTGTCATCGTTTGAGGCGTCGTAATTTATTAAACGCGTTCTGAAAATGACCCAAAAAGAGAAAAGTTTGTTGAACATCAGCCTTTGAAACTGCTCATTTATATCAGCCGAGCCATTTCGGCAACTATAAGCTTGACTAGTAACGCTAAGCATTTTCCTGTCGATGTAAATAAACAGTCCTTATATTTGAATCTCGTTGTGTTTAAAGATATTATGTCATATTTGGAGTCTAATATGATCTTTAAAGGAGCGGATATCACGGCAGCTATCCAGCGGAATATTACTCGAGAATAAATGCAGTATTTGCATTTAAAAAGTACAATACCACTCAATGTCATGTAGCAGTTTCAACCTGGATCTGACAATTCATCCATGCACACCAAATAGATCTGTGCCATAATACCGTCTTCTGAAAAAACAATCTTTTACAACATACTGACATACAAAAAAATCATTTCGAGAGTAACGTGATTTCGAATTTACAATAACGCGCTTACTTTTGGTGACGTTGCAATCCATAGTGCAGACGCCGGTGACGGTTATAATTCCGTGATTTGTAACCATCACCTTCAACCACGTTGTTCAACGCAGATGTTTGTTGAAGTGCTGGAGCTAAATTCCTCCTCTCTGTGGAAGACAATCTTCTACATCGCCTATTGCAAACTATAAAGCTAGCAAAACACCTTGACTGTGAAGTCAAAAGACATTATTGTATGCAAAATGTCACATAAAACCACTCGTATCATTTGCTAAAAACCAGAGTACATGATCCTAATTAGTTACATGTAAGTTAACATTTTAACACTTTAATACCGAGGTCGACAACTTGGGGCTTTTTATCAACGACGAATATCCATTTGAAAAGAATGAACGAACGGAAGAGGGCCTAAAAACAAGTGAAATTTGTTGTATTATTCAAACACAAACTGCCGGTCAAAAAATCAGCCGATCGAGGTCGTACCGACAAAGAAGAGGTAACGTTAGCAAGAGGTTGAGTTATTTTATGCCCTACCTCTCATTTTAATTTTAATAAACAAACGGATTTCTGAGCGTCGGAAAGTTGTCATTCTTCTAATAATGTGGTCAAAAAATAAGACATCTGCTTTTAATCTGTTGAGGTAGAAGTGAGTTCAGAATGAGAGGTTAAGGTAGTAAGAACTAATTGTTTTTTCAGTGACCCTACAGTATCATGTACTGCGAATTGCCAAGTCGGACATTTTTTAGGATTTTGAAGATAAATTGTTACCATCATCGTAATTTTTTTATGGATACGTCCTTGTGATTTGACACTACTTAGTCTTCAACCTCAGTAAACGTCTATACGATTTGCCGTCTGTGAGGAATGCACTTCAGTCTCCATAGAACATGGCGACTTTTTCTTCAACTAGTTTTTAATTCTGTCTACATTAGTATATCTATATAGATGGCATGTTCTAGGTTTGTTTCCATATTATAAAATATCCATGCATGTCACAACACAACAACTCAGTTGCATATTGGAGCTACCTTAAAAAGAAATTACTATTCTCGTTTCTTACATCCCTATTGGTTACCTTGAGAAACAAATGGAAACCCAAAGAATTACCGCCCTGAAATTATATGGAATCATACCATCTCGTTGAGCCAATTGAGATCAAGGCATAACATACTCGAAGCCCATCTCTAATATTCATATATTGAGTGGATTAAGTGGCTTCAAAAATGCCCTGATATGGCTGAGCGTGGGGAAGAGCTCTCTTTATCCCTCGAAACGCACTCACAGGACCACGCATATACGGACACTGCCCTTTTGTGGATGGATTATTGGTGGATAGGGAGGATTCACCTCAAAGAGTTTGAAAACCCTGATTCCAAACCATTGGTGCACATGAGCTACATGATTCTGAGGGAACAAATGGCGTATACATCTATTTTTGGTCACCGGCTACCATGTGACTGCATCTCCTGACGTCGCTCCACTACCTTGTAGATCAGACGTCTAGGGGAGTGACCCCCTAAGAAAAGCACTTGCTTCGGTTTGAGCGTCCGGGCAGTGTACCACACCTCACACGGACCGAATGATGAAGTGCTAAGTAACAAAAGGTCAAATATATATCTTGCATTAAAATAATAGTTACTAAAAGGGAGAAATCTAAACAACCAACTACCTTACTGTCAGACTTTCCACCTGAACGCCGATGAAGTTAAAATGTTCAATCGGTCAAGTATTATGACTTATATTCAGTACAGTGACAAAGTAAATACAGCAAAATCAGTGAACAGTACGGGAAGAAAAATGGAAATAATGTTTTATTATTGGAAATGAAAATTACACTTCAAAATCGACTAATCCGATGTCGGGGGTAGTATGGGCGGGGAAGAGGAAGAAGCAATCGGTGCAGAACTGTACAAATCGCCCTCAGAGTCGGGATGGAAAGCGACCACAGGAAGGTTGTAGGGTGAAACAAAAAACTTCCCTTTCGGATTCGAATTTCCGCCAGACTTTTCCTAAATTCAAAACAAAGTGTCAAGGAATTTAAGGAGATCCGAATAATTAAATTGGGCTGGTCATAAAATTGATATGAAAAAACGCGAAAAATTAAATATTACTAGGGAAATAGACAACGATGCTATGCTAACAGGAAGTATTCATGGAAAGACACAAAACTAGTTATTTACTTATATGACATACGTAATATGTGTTCACATGTTCAGACGTGATAGAACTATAATAAAAAAATCCTAGGGAATATCGTCAACTTTGGAATTGATCATGGAAACGAAAGGTAATGTGGAAGCGCAGATCCACTGCTATAAATAAGTCTAGATAATTTATCGAATTTGCCAAGGACATGGAGCATGACTGGTTGCTTGGTAGCATACATCAGCAAGGATACTTGTGAACACATTATTCAACACCCTTCGTAACTATTTTAGGGAGAGGGGACATATGTAAGATGTAGGCATATAAAAGAAAGTACATTTACATGTAATAAACAACTGATTTTCCTTAAATAAATCCATTCAATCGGGATGGGTTATGGCTGAGGAATTCTATATAACGAAATAAACAACAATAGTAATCTAGATCTTAAGCAGCACATATTGACTAGTGTTCCATATTTTTCAGATAATTAACATTGTAAGTTAGATAAGAGTGTGGTATTAAGATAGATTTGGGTGTTCTATCAAAAAAGACCTCAACAGATAAACGGATAGAAATAAAGTCATAAAAATGACCGTATTATGCAAGCTGAAAAACTCCAGGTGAAAACCACTGCAACAACCTAATTGTTTAAATAGTAAAGTTTGGAGTTCAAGATAAATGAAATGTAATCATTTTAACTCCACACATTACAGCAAAATCTTTTATCGAAAACAGTTATTTACCCATTGGTCAGCTAATTCACTCATTTTCGCTTTTAATAAACGAATTAAACTAGCTTTTACAGCAGACTTCTGTTGAATTTGTGCATCTTGGATTGTTTCCAACTCATTTCGCTTGTCTGGTTTACTACCCGGACCATAAATACGTAAAAGACCACTCCAGGTACTAACTTCAGGATGTAGGCGGGCCAAAAGATGTTGAGCAGATAAATGACGACCTTCTCTTTTGTTTTTACATCTAACCTATGAACATTGAGATGGTTAGTTTCAATCAAAATTATTCAGTGACTAATAATAGTGAATTTACAAAGGAGGTTTCTAGAGTAATGAAAGAAATAATTATAAAAAGTCGTTACATTAATAAGAGTAAGGTATTTCTCTAAGATAGCATCAACTTTTGTAAACCAAGAGTAACGAACATTGTAGAACGAAGTGAATTCATTTTATTCCGTATGCTCTATTTCTTTCACATACGCGCTAATTTAATTCAATGAAAATAATTTTTACAAGTGTAATGTAACATGCATGTATGATCAGTTGTCTGATGGAAAGCCTATCTGAAAGACAGAAAAGGTTGATCCAGTATCAAGTTTATGAGCTTAGTAAACCAAGAGAGTCCACTCTCCCTGTCGAAATGCTCTCACATGGACACGCGTATATAGCCTCTGCTAGGGAAGTCCTACTCACTGCCTTCTCACACCACGGGTGTTGTTTGTGAAATTGAGAGGATGAAAAGCGAATGTTCGGTGCTTTAACTGGGTTGATGGACACAGAGGGTTCACCCAGCGGAGTTGGAAAAGCCTGATTCCAAACCAATGGTGCACATGGGCTCCAGTACCCTGTTGGAACAAATGGTGTATGAACCAGTCGTTGGTCACCGACTACCATGGGACTGCATCTATTTACGATGCTCCACTGCCTTGTGTATTAGACCTTCAGGCCGGAGGCTCTGGGTGTGGCCCCCTGAGAAAACCACCTGCTTCGATCTGGACACCCGGGCAGTATCACGGCTCTCACACAAATTAAATGGGATTTGTTTGGCGCAAATGTATTTGGTGCTTCCTTGTACCAATATCTTTGTGTTAAAATAAATAAATAATCCAGTACAGGTGTTTTAACTAAGGAAGAATGCCATTTAGAAATAATTAAATGACTAGATGATACCAAACGCTTTCTTATAAACAAACAGAACAAAGATAAGACTCTAAGAACCAAAAAGAATTGTAGTCAGGTTATGAAAGAGAAAAAAATAAACGAATCAACTTGTGAATGCTTAAAGTCAAAAATGTCCTACTCGTTGACATTGTATGGTTTACATAGGACTCATAAAACTTGACAACAGATTGTTATACCAAACGTTTTCAAATAGTATAGTGTACAACATTCGAAAAGTTTAACAAGTGTGATACATTGATAAACATTGTTATCTTACTATAAACACTCTAAATTTTTTCCTAATAATGGCTCTCACATTCAGATGTAATCCCATTTCATTTGTATTGGTCTCTTCAAAGTTATAAGTAAATTATATATAATGCTATCATTATAATTATAGGAATAGTTAAGCCTACCTTAACAGTATGTTCTCTCAGCTGTAAAGTGAAAAAGTGTTTACTGCGTCCTTGAGATATCATATTTGACTTCAAATCAGACTCAGGAACACAACTTCGACTTAAACATTCAACAAGTAGATTATATGGAGTAGGTAGTGCCATACGCACAGATAATTCATATAAACGTGGATCAGTCACTGAAATGGAATCGAACAACTGCATATCACGATCAGAGGCTACCACTGGACCTGTTTGATGTGAACTGCTACATACAATCTTTTGAAAATCCGGAATTAAAACTTCAAGCGCTTTACGAGCTTCACAAAATAAAATAAAGCAAACATCGGATATTATTTTAAGTGAGTGTATAATTGTGAAGAGTGAGAACATAAAAAGTTATCAAATAAGACATTAATATTCTGATTATAATTAATACTTACAAACTATATTTTAACAAGCCAGACGAAAAGTTTTGGGATAATTATTAAGTCTATATATAAAATCACTATTGAACTTATTCATAACTCTGATTATCCTTTATTCTCTACTGAATTCAATTTATTCTACCAAGAATGTTTGAGACATGTAGCATTTTGAACATATAAAATAACAGAGTTACATAACTCGACTAGCTTTAATACAAGAATAAATAAATAACCATTTTCAACAGTCAAGAAAAAACATACCCGCTTCTAATCTTGCACACTTTTTACTTTGCCCTGTACCGGTTCCATATGGATTACCATTAATAAATACTGTCATTTGATAGGGATTTTTATCGTTTTCAAGAACTGTTGTCTGATATGTCGGCGGACGACGTATAACATTTTGGCAATACTCATGAAGAATGCAAACATATGATTTACCAGTCATATTGATCATACCCTCTAGAAAAATATATCAAGTGGTAAATGTACAAAAAAAATAAGTTAGATGAATCAGGGACCTGATCAACTATACAGTTTGATTCTTCTCCTTACCACATAGTATGCACATGATACAGATTTCTGTACGTTAGAGAACTATTGAATATCATACAACGTAACGGAGCAATCTTGTCTAAGTTTAGGGCTTCTCAGGAACATGTATTCAATACGCCACACAGGAGCGGACATAAAAACACACGAATAGAATATAGCATGTTATGAATAGGCCATCCTAGTTAAAATCCAATATTCCCTAGTTTTTAGCATCAATCGACATTTAGTGTTGTTGATGTAAATCTGTCTTATTGCAGACAGCGTTTGACTTCAAAGTGACAATTTCAAATTATCGAGTTTTGCAAATCCCTCTTGAAGCAAGTCAGTGATGAATACCTGATTGTTATTCGAATCGGGTTTCAGTGAAAACTCATCTAAAATGAAAATATGGCGAAGACTGACGAAGAGTCCATAACTTTTAAGACATAACTGTCTAGATTTCCTTAGTATTTAGTGGTTATGGAGATGATATCAATCTGCAGTGTAGAGTCAAACCAAAAAGACCTTCATAAACAACGAAGTGAACATTATACGTTTGATACATTAAAAAATGTTTCAAAAGCATTTCAAAATTGTCGTAACAACAAGAGAACAGTACGAAGATACGGTCAAATAAACTTTCGCAGCTTCTGATGTTATTACGGTAATGATTTAAACAACAAACACTTTATTGTTTACATCACTAGCTTGAAATTATGTGCCAAATCTATAAAACTATGATAGTTAAAGATCTACAAAAATGTCGATGTTAACTCTGGGAATCGAGCACAATACCATCCACTTCAAACCATTACAAATTAAATCAAAATTCGTGTCTGTTGCACAAGTGACTATTTGGACTCAGTAGCTAAGTGGACAGTATGTTGGCGCTTGAAGCAAAAGATGGTAGGTTTGAATCCCGCAGTGAACATTAACTCTGAGATTTAGATGCACCCAGCTGGCGAGTCCAAAATAGGATAAAACGAGCATCATGGATCTTACTACTAGATACATTCCATCTGCTCCATAAAAAAATAGAGCAAAAAGGATACAATGTATTGTAGATCACTAACGTAGATGATCTATGTTGAATGATTGGAGGTCTAGTCGAGTTAGACGGGAATGGTATGACGAACCAGCCAACTTTGAAGTCACACCTCGCGGTCAGCATCTAACGTCGATTAAGCCTTCGACGTATGAAAGTACCACGGCTGCTTTGAAGATCATGTAACACAAAGGACGTTGTTAAGAAAATGTATTAGTAAGAATGAGTGCAGAGAAGATACCTAGACCACCACCGCATGCACCACTCCATGACATACGATTAACTGATGCGCGTTGGTTGTCCTCAACCTTGAAGAGGATCAATGATTTGTTCGATATTCAGCGATGATTTGGCTAAGGCGCAGTGATATTTTACTGGCCCTACAGTATGAATAAAAATAAGTTCGATCATAGTTGGTCAGAACATCAACAACAGCCGTCGTCTGAGTCTGCAAGGATTTCTAAATATTCATCAGACAATAATCATAGCAACGAAGCGAATTAATGGTACGAATGCCTTTTTTGAACTAGACTTCTTATATTTGAGAGGGGGTTTCCCGTAAATCCCCATGTTAGCTGACCAGTTCTTTAAGTTAGTATCATTTTATAGTGTTATTCAAAAGTATGGTTTGCTTGAGGTGCTTATCGGTCTTTATTGGTGCACTTGAGTAGCTTTGGATTTATTGTATTCAAAAAACTACAGACTGGAGGTTGATATTCATCATTTTATTTGTATTTCTATCATAGTACGGTATTTTGCATCGCTTGGAGTGCTGGTTTCAGTACTTTGCATTTGGCTTTAAATATCAACTGGATGTGCTCACGTTTGAAATCCCTCGAGTGTAATTACTTGACCTACATAAAGATCGACATATTTAACATGAACAATGAATCCTATGACAATTCTAATATAAAGTAACACCTACCTTTAGGCTGCTTTCGCGAAACGTTTCCATCAGCCGATGGTATTTGATATCGAATAACTTTTGCCTGTTCTGACTTAAATTACAGAAACAAAAAATAAAGAGATATTAATCTGGGATTTTTAGACACAAAAATAAGAAAACTGTAAGAGAAAATACTTTCAAAAAACAGATTAGTTGATTTGATTCACTAAAACATGTATAATCAACTAATGTATATGTAACATGAAGGTGAAAAAACGTAAGCTAGGAAGAAGGATTTATGAATAAAAAACTAGACACTTTTGACTGTATCTTACGTACTACATATCAATACAAACCACTCAGGCTTGAGGTATAGTACACTACACATCACAATTCTTGACTAACGATGGACATACAACAGATTTTACGGAGTATATATGGTATGAAAACGTACAAAACATCCGTCTGTTTACATATATACATACGATGTGATTATGCGTGTACTTCAGAAAACATACATGAAATAGTCGATCTGCTAAACTGATGTCAAATTTCCTTTCGTAAGTAATAAAACTGTCTTCATCAACATCATTAAACATGGGACATATTTACAATAATTAAATAAGACGTGGAGTAACACTACTAAATGAATTATCATAATTGTGTCTATGAAATTTCATAGTCAACAATTGTGCAGCAGAACCAACATTAACAGACATTAAAGTAATCTTTCCTATATTGAAACTTGAATTATTAAGTTTTAAGATTCTTGACTAATTTGCGAGAGTCAAGCAAACTACATTGTCTAACAAAACTTACTTATTGCGAATTTTCATCTTTTGCAATATTAGCTAATCATTGTAAATTTGTTCCTTAGTCAGATAACAAATGCTTTAATGATCGTCACTAAAATTATTAGCGTTACCTGTATATTTCTGTAGTCATTAGAAAACCGAAGAAGTTATCGTTATAAGATGATTTAATGTTCAGGGTTCGAACTCTGCCCTACTATATTTGGTATGGGCAGCTATGTATTATCACTAGCCGTCACATTTTTAGTGTCGCTTAAAACCAACGACATGAACATGTACCTGGTTAGTGACATACTAAAATTTATTCAACCCAAACTATTGTTGTTTACGTATAGCAATTCTATGAAGTCAGCCGTGTTCAAAGATAGTGTAAAACACCATCACCACAGTTGTAATGTAAAAGTTTCTGAATCGAAGTGCTGTGCATTCGACCATTTAAATAATGGACACTGTGAGTTTATAAATAACAGTTTTGACAAAATGGAAGAATAAAAATACTTTCTATTTCTGAAGTATACTACTGTAATGCGATAAATGGACTGGGAACCGAGATTTTTATCACTAGATCGAATACTTAAACGATATGCTATACACACATTGGATCCAGTTATGCTAAATACACGACTCGCGATCAGTAAGAGGGAGACAGAATATACCCTAGATAATACTTAATTTAACGCAGTTACAAGCAGTCGACCTTAATGAGATCAGAGTGGAAATCAATAACAGGAAAAGAAATCATATATTTAATAGTCGGTAAGTTGAATGTCTAGTTTTTCACACTAAGTGGACAGTCATGTTTACTTTCACTACCACATCAAGTTTATCCTGATATGTATTCAGAAATGTGATGGTACAGACATTTTTTTGCTACATCACTTTCCACAGCTTAGAAACATAGTGTTTTCACTTCTGTAAAAAAAAACTTAATACCGAGGTTGTATGCACACTTGATTTGCACATTTGAACGATGGCTACCAAAGGATTTCAGGTCATCATATTATCATACGGTAAAGCTACATCATCCACGATGGAATCTCTAGCTTCAGCTAACCGATTCACGTCTTAGTCATAAACTTTCTTTAAAATTGCCTTAAGAACACTACAAATTGCATACAACATTAAGAAACAATGATTAATTCATAAGATCCTGCCAAGTTTCTGTAGATGATATATAGGGACAAAGATTTCGATAAAAATAATTCTACCTAAAACAAACACTTAAGGGCGGTTAATGTCATTCAACACAAAACTGGACAGTATATTCTTGTTTGACAAATCTATGGTAGATTCATATCTCACTAACAAAAATAAGTAGAACTTATTATAAGTGCTTATCAAATTAGGTTACAACAATGTAAATTTTAACATAATAAGAGCATAAAGTAACTATATTAATTGTTTGCAGAATAGAGTCCTGACTATTACAGTATCTGATCGGGCTCAAATCGGAATACACTAAATGGTCCTTTCTCAATCAATTGATCAGCGAACTGAAATGTCAACCATTGCTGTTCAAGTTTACTGGAATATACAGTAGTAATTTTCAGTTCTTGCTTTGATTTTGGAAGAGTTGAGCGAAGTTTAAGTATCCAACGGATGTTAGACAGTAAAACATAACAATCAATGAAAGTGAGAATACTATTCGTTATCACATTTATTCACATACAGCTCAGAAATGAAAACAAAAACAAAGTTAATGCTACGGAGGAATAGGATTAGTTTTTCGTACTTACCATCATCAGTAATGGTTTCTGTATGTCTTCTGATTCTTTAGTAGTAAGATCTGTTGTACAATGATATTCACTATTTCTTTGTTGTTGTTTTTTAAGAAAAAAAATCAAAGAATATACACAAAAAAACAAATTTTGTATTGGCATAAAATAAATATTGATTTAAAGAAGATATGTGTAAAAACTAACTAACTAACTACTACTATTACGATAAATAAGAAATTCGATTCCAACCATGAAATAAAAGAGTATTGTTTGTGCGACTCAACTTTACAATTATATATAATATAACAAAGTGACAGGATATACAAGCTAGTATGCTAAATTATGAGTAAAATATACTATAGAAGAGTTGGGAACCATCTAAAAATGGTATGCGATGAAGTGTAGAGAACAATTTTAATCACAGCTCCAAAGAGACTAGGTTAGAAAATTTAGCGCATACTTTAAATAATACTAGATTTTAGTTAAAAATTATTTTGATAAATATAATGCAAAGGAATTGGGAAATAAAAAACAGTAAAATTATTTAACTTGTATGGAAAATCAAATTTCTACAGTAAATCACTTCGAATGTGAATAAAGTTGAACTACTTTCAAACAGTAGAAAGCTGAAGAAATTTTATATAATGATAATTGAGTATAACTTGAAGTAATAGCCGATTGTCTACCTTTAAACACGGAACATATTTTCTGAAGGTGAACGTTTAAACATTTAAGCATGTGCCCCAATAAACCTAAGTTTCAAAATAAGTATGTTTGAAGGACCTGTAAACAAAATTAGATTAGTATAGATGACCTTGATGATGTGAGAGGGTTGTCGTCATGTTCAGGAGTAAAACACTTGAGGCAAGTTGCGAAGCAACTTTATTGTGAATAGGTTTTATTGCTTTGACCGTATAATTATCAAATCGTACTGAATACACTATAAATCTGTGAGATAAGACGAAGTAAATTATTTTAAGGGTCAAACTTTTGTGACCTTTTCCTTCATCGTAGAAAGCTAATATCATAGAATAGTTATTTAACTTCTTATTTTAACCTTGATTTTGACAATTTTGGTTTTCCCGATCTTCAACAAGCCTGTTTAGGATAGTGAAACATGAAGGAATAAGTGTGCAAGCTCAAACACTGGGAAAAAGTAGCAAATACGATTGGAACTGATGATGAACATCAATATCGACAGTCAAATAGGTATAAACGGTAAAACCTGGATAATCGTAATGCCACATCACGAATTGATCGAGCTCATAAATATGAACGATTGGGTTCAAATTTCGCTGGATAATCTGAAGGTAATATTTTAGAACTCTAGTGGGATCGTGGTTGCAAACGTTGAGAGCTTTAGACTCGTTTAAAATATCTGTATATTACTCCCTGATTTCCAATATGTTTTCAGATAAAGTAAGTTCGTGATTTAAACTATCTCATGATTCAGGGAAACTTTGAATAAAACAAAATTGAAGCTTAGCGAAAAAAAAATAAAAGTTTTGTTTAAAAACTTGAAGTTCTGAAGAAGTATTTTACCATTTATTTTATTAACAATTCTTAAGTTATTCATAGAAAGTTGTTCCTTATTTTAATCGAAGCTTGTATCAAGGCTTATCCCTCACTAATACTATCAATAAGCTTGACTGTTTGGTTACATTTAATTCCATTCACGCAGCAGCTATTGCTTATTCTCGAAGAAGATATTATTTTTGCAATGGTTGGTGTGGATTCGCGTGCGCGGTATGAGAAATTTTTTTTAGGAGTATAGTATTTTCAGATGTTTAATCATCTAACACTGTCGATATAAGGTTGTTTATGGATAATTTATCAAGTTTGTTATTGTTGCTGGAAGTGTACATTTGGTTCGCATTAGAATTCCTTTTATTATAAATTATTTATGTCGATGTTAGGGGAATTATAGTGTTCTAATTCTATTACAAATCATCATTCACATCAATTGTTTCAAGTGCAAATATAACGACTTCTTTTTACAGATTAAAACAATTTAGTAAAAAAAAACAATCAAAAATAAAGTTGGATTAACATAATTAAACTAAAAACTACAATTTAAACAATCATTTGAATACCTTTTAAATACTGTATCTTCTACTCTGATTTCAAAAAGACGTCCACAATATTCACGGATATCATCAGGTGTCAACAGAGATTCTTTTTCTTTGTCTTTAATAGAAAACACCTTGAAAAATACAATTGAATGCAGCGTCAAAATGATCTTAATCAAAAGGGAATTAACTTTGATTGTGATCATTTTAAACGTTAAATGTAGTTCTGTTACATTTTTTTAAACCTTACACATATTTATATATTTTAGTTACAGTATTTATGAGCAACAAATTAACTGTACGATCACCTCGCTCTCATCTTGTTGGTTATTTGTAAACTAGCACCCTTCTCGTTGGTGAACGTATTGATTTTTCGTTCTGCTATTTGAATTGGTCACTTTTAACATTATCTCTGTTAAAGTTAAGATACTCTTTTGAGTCCACCAGTCTTGAGCGAGTTTTCCAGTAAGTCTAACAATACCTTAAATTTCAAGCCGGTTTTTTTCCTAAATCAGTAAGGTGTTAAAATATACTTTGAACAAGACTGGAGATAGAAGAAAAATACTTAGCAGACAATAATCACTTTCATATTTCTACACATCTAACCTGAGTTTTAACAGCAACAATTTCTTGAGTTCCAGTAGGTGCCTCATTTTGTTTATTGGTAGATACGTTGGATATACGATCAGACTCTGACAGTTGAATATTTGGTGATGTTGTTAAACAAGATCTTTTGGTTAGAAGATTACCACGTCTAAATTTACGATATCTATTCGCAAAATGAGTTGATCTGTTATACAGAACGTTATTACAAGTAGTTGATACTTCTTCAGCTACTTTAGGTAACGAATCTACAGTAAATATAATAGAAACAATGATAAGAATTGTAAAAAACACGAACGATTTAAAAACCAACTTGAGAATATTGTAAACGTTAAGCTAAAAAAAATTAATATAATTAATAATACCATTTAAATTGGTTGAACTTCCTAAGACGCTTTGATTACATAATCAAGTGCCATCAGATGTAAACCAGAAAGGTACTTTTTTCATCATTACAGTTCATTCTCGCAAGCGAGGAATAAAGTTAATTTAAAATATGATAGGTCTATCACATAGTAGTATGAACAATATCATTAAGAACAATAGTAATTAGAGTCATATTGTTAGTGGGATATAGATTGGATTAAAGCATGTTCCGCGCAGGATTGTGTTGGAGTACGCTGACTGGTCATTTCTTAGCCGATCAGAGCTAGAGGACAATTGGAGAAGACTCTAGAATCTTCTCATGTAAAATTGTAGTTATATTCACGTCCTTCTTATTGAGAATTTTACTTCCAGTCAATCTTATTTATTTGGAACATAATCATGTTTCCGTCCAACTGTTTTCCGAATCGGGGACTAGTTAAGTGAAGTAGTGTTTGAATAAATATTAAGCAGTAAGACTAGCGAAGTCGTCATAAGAGAGACCATAATACATGTTGGGTAAATCTATTCTTTTCAGACTGACATAGGCTGGAGAACTACAAAAAACCAAAGAACTGAACGAAGTTAGGAATGTGGACCTTCCAACTCCAAATCATAGGTCTAAAAGGATCTTGTACTTTATATTGGATATGGATGTCCAGAAATCCACGCTGCAAAATGCATTTATTGAACACCGCTGAGGGATCTCAACCTCTATGACAAATCGACCAATAAATAGAACCTGCTTTTCAATAGCTGATCATAAGTTGTACGTCGGATAAACCTTGGCAAACCTTATGCTGTCTCAAAATAACGAGAGGAAAAGTGAAGATGAATGGAAACTCGAACGAATAAATGAGTCGTTCATTGCCGAAGGTCACTATCAACACCATATTCCTATTAATCTCACAACCTATAAATATAATAATAATCTAAAAGCATTACTATTCCACTTTCGGAAATAAAACTTCCCGTACAGTTTTAGGTCTATTCACCTGTATAGTTAGATAGGCTGAAAGTAGGAGCGTGCATTAGTGGCTGAATTGAAACGCGAAACAATAATATAGCGACAGTCAGTGGTGAAAACTATAGTCAAATCAAAGAAATCTCTATAATCAACCTATATAATGATTTTTACGTAATAAACTTATCTCTACCTGGCCTTAAGAAACCGAAGCCATGAGACAATTAGGCTAAGTGAGGAATGAGTTATGCTGTTTTAGATAGTGTTATTTTCTCAATCCTACTGTTCATTTCAGGATAAGAAACAATCACTAGACTATTTTATAAATACTCTTTAAGGGGTGGTTCAGTGACCAAAGGGTTTAACACACCCACTACATGGTAGGTCCAAACCCCTCCCCAACGAGTTCAGTTTCGGCAACCGGGAAGTATTTTCGGCCTTTACTTTTGGAGTGAGGACTGTAGTCAAGTACACCAACTCGTATTTGGTGAGTGTTAAAATTTATGGGTATTTTTAAATATTTAATTAGGAAAATTCCAATAAATAAAAAATAATGAAAAACTTCTTACTTTGTAAAGATGATGTTTCATTGGATGAACAGTTGATTGAATCTTCATCAACACCATCACTAACATTGTCATCATTATTCAAACGTGGTTTTTTAGCTCGACTATCATCTTCAAATGAATTCTCTTTTTCATCATCACCAGAAGATAATTCACCTTCTTCTTTGTCGGAATTTTTACTTTTCACTGCATCAACAACATCATGATTAGTATTATTGTTATCTTCAGGTGATGAAAACGAGTTATTTCTACTACGATTGAATGATACTGAAGCAGCATCATTAATTGGTAGCTTATCCTCATGTTTGTTATTTATTACTGATACTTCATCTTCTAACGACTCATTAGATAGGTCTAATTTTTGGACTGTTTGTACATCTTCAGATGGGATGTTTGTTGGTGATTTTTCAAACGGACAACATACTGTTTTATTATTTAACTCATTTACTGGACTAGTGAATTCTGAAGGGACCTTTATATATCACATAATTAATGAATTAATATGAAAAAAGACGACAAAAGAATAAAAACGACAATGAAAAGAAAAGATCACTGTTTGGCTGATTGAATAAAACTGAATAGAGTTAATGATGATACTTTTCGGTATTATAACTATTACGTATATGTAGTATAGTCAAAAGTACCATATTTACACACACACACACACATAAATATCCCATCATTAATTTACTTTCACTGCTTACAATTGACTAATTTGATTATAGATATGACAAATTTAATTTAGGAAATGATTTAATATGGAATTAACTAAATGAACTAATATGAATGTTGCGACAGACTCAGTTACTACTTGGCTGAACAGTAAAGATAGCAAAAATTCGTACTCTACTCCCAAACATCTTCATTTCAATGATCAAGTAGAAAGTTATTTCGAAAAATAGAAAACTATTATTAATTTCGTTTTTTACTATAACACTCAACAAACTGGAGAAGAAAGTAAACAGAAATGCCATGCAATCTGAGATAAAAACTCCAGCAAAATTACCAAAAGAAAGCAAAGGCTCTCTATCCGAATATGAGGTACTTGCAGTCTGAAACGGTTATGTATTATCGTGCTAATGATTTCTGACTATCCAATGGAATTTCACTGAATAACATTACCAAGTCTACAGTTTCCGTACAAAAAATATTACGACTTTTGTACACATAACCTCTGTGTTGATGAAATACGTTTCGATACCTAATTTTAATTCTGTAACTAATGAATCTATTCTACATAATACAAAAACCACCACAAATACAGAGTCCGTTATACATACAAAAAACCTTCGTAAAAAACCTAGGGTGAACTATAAAAATCCAGACCTGTATTTAACCTGTAGTAGATGTGGTGTTCGTATGAAGCGACAATTGCTTTGTACATAAATGAGCACCTTGTTCTAATTCTATTACACTACCACTTGCGTTCATGGTCTTCTTATTTTTGTGAACTGGTCCGTTCGTAGCTAATGGAGTACTTTCTGGAAATTTAATACTGTTATTATTATATTTACGTTTGGTAGTCAAACTAAAAGGTGACATCAGTCCAAGAAGTCATAGACTGTTGGTCTGCGCCATATTGGTAGATTCAGACTACCATATTGGGGTCCACTTGATAACGGAGACCAGTGGTTGGAGACTGAAACCGACATGGCTCAAAATTGTTCACAATGGTGCAAATGAATTTACTTTTTGTCTTCCTATTGTTGCTTCACAAATATTTTTTCATTCCATCTTCGAAAATTCTATTTTCAGTGTTTAATTTTTATCACTGATATTTCTGCTAAAATCGTTTAAAACTATTTGTTATTCACCTTGTTAATTTTATCTGACTTGTCCAACGTTCTACGTTGATATAAGTGAGCGTTTAAGAGGGAAGGATAGACGACAATCATCGTAGCAACATAGTCAAAATATCAAAACGAGTTTGATGCATGGTAAAAAATAAGTATAAAATAGTACGCTAAGTGTTTAAATCAAGACCAGGGCTGCAAAGTTTCAATGGACTTGACTTTAAGTACCCACGAGGGTGCAATTGACAGCTTGGTATTATTATTATTATGTAGCTGGTAACTAGTGAATTTCTTTAAGTAAAAAGTCCTTAACAACTATGTGAAAACTTCGATTTCAAGTCGACACACTGATAGTGAATTCAGGAAATGCAACCATATATACCCATCTATTTTTAATGTGACTACAGACTATGAACTACGAAAGTTACAAAAATATTTGTTTAGCAAACGATAGTAATTTTGATATTGTGGAAAAATATCTGTATAGATACAATTACAAAATAATTCTCCGTTCAAAGATGAAAAGGGATGTAACTAAAAGAGAGGTAAAATAAATGCACAGTGTGATGGTAAATGCCATACCGAAAGAAAATCCATAAATTATGAAGTTAAAATGAACTTGTCAGTTTCGAATGGATAGTTGTGCGGAAAGCTATAAATATTTGTTAAAAGAATTTTAACAAATTAGATTATATGATAAAAGTCATTGGAAAAGATTAAGTTCGTACAATTTTTTAATCCAGGATAATATGCATGATAAATCACTAAAGTACATCAATACAGTGCTGAAAATTTACCTTATGAGATTCAGTTGGATAAAAAAATTTTCCACTAGCTTTACGATAAGCCAAACATGGAATAGCCGATACAGGAATACGATGGTGACGTACACTACTCGGTCCAATAGAATATGGTCTTGAAAGTGTCACCACTCGGCTTGATCTGTGTAAATATACATTAAGTCCAGAAATATGACGTAGTTGGAGCCAACCCTCAGGTAGTAGACCAAAATCAACTGTTTCAACCATATCTGTTGTTAAGAAGTAATAATGGTGTTTAGGAAAAAACATATTGTAAAATTACACTACACATGTTAATATAAATGAGGTTACTTAGGTTTCAACTGTGTATTCAAATGTCAAGGATATAGAATGAAGATTTATCAAAAAGAAAAGCGCTACTTCATTTTTAAAAAAATGCGACATTTTGTATTAAATGCAGAATCAAATCAGTGACTTGATTCTCTTCATGACAATTTCAGTGATTTTTATTACATCGATATCAGTAAAGGGTCGGGAAGAATGTATCTTGTAGTAGAATACCTCAGAAACACACACGCATAACCCACTTCGAGATCGAACAAAGAAAATTGTGAAGTTGTGCAACTTGAAAATCTCTAGAATATTTATTTTGATGTGTGACTGATGTACTTAGCTATAGTTGATGACAGAATAAGAGTTTCGGTAAAGGAAACCTACGTTTTTTTAAAATATGATCGGTGTAAACTAGTAATCGGTGATCCATTAGCTGATGTCGATTTACGAAGAAAACCATACTAAGATAGTCACCAAATATTCTGATTGCAATGACGTAGACTATCTTAATTTCTTGGATTTCATTTTACTAGACTGGATACCTTATATACTCTCGAGTCACTCAAAACTGTAAATGCCACCATTACATATCTAAACAATGAGTTTTGTTAAATATAATTACTTATGTCAAACCAAATCGAATGAATATATGGAATATTTCATTTGTACCCTTTTTGCCTGGTTTGATGATTATAAAGGATTTTATTCAGATTCCATCATAATTTTGCTTTTCTTCACAAAAACGTTATTACAACATCTACATTCAGTAAGGAACAGATATCTACTCAAACTCTGTAAACTTATTTGTATTCAGATGAGAAAATGTTTGAACATTACTTTAGGGTTGGTGTGCATGAATGTTCATTCTAACTTACTGGGGCGTAGACAAGTAATAACATCACAATTTGTATACTTATTTTTTGATATCCTCTTTACATACAGACTGTGTACTATGGAAACTGTCAGTTAAGAAAATGGATGTTTAAAGTGGCACAGGCAATTATGTTTTATTCATAAGGAATAAAACTTCTACAAATATATTAAATTTAAAAATGATCGTATGCACAAACTGTCTTACGAAAGTAAGAACAAATGCAATTTTTCATCCATTTTAGAACGGTGAGTTATTAATACAAAACAAACCTTTGTAGTAGCCATTTACCAGTGGTTGAACAGAATTACCGTCCCACATTAACAAGTTGTAGTTAACATCCCTAAGTGGGGAACAACGCGTAGTTACTTAACTACCATAACAATATTCTAACTATCATGTCATAACCGTTTAATAATGGTTGTTTACGAACCCTGATTCTGAATAATTACGGTGATATGAATTCGGACCCATTCATTCAAAAGATGTAAGTATATTACACATAGAAATGTAGTAACAATAGTTTCATGATGAAAATTATAATCACTACCAAAAAGGCTATCCGCAACATCAAACGATTAAAACGTTTGCCTTTACGACCCAGATAGGGGTGAGTTATCTCTGTCAAGCCAGAACCTGATATGGATGCGCTTTGGCACAAGGTACCATACCATATTATCATGGCGACATGGAAATGATAAGCTGAATAAATAAAATCAAAATAATGTGGTGTCAATGACAATGAAAAAGACTAATCATTGAGAATATGGTTCAAGAAGATTTACGAAAGAGTATTTGAATACGAAATCGAAAGATGAAAAGTGATTGCGTCTGTGCCCTCAAATGTCCTGGCACGATCGAGAGTGGAGAGAGCCAGCTCTCTCTTTTGAAATGCTCTCACATGGCCACGCGTATATAGCCTCTGCTAGGGAAGTCCTACTCACTGCCTTCTCACACCACGGGTGTTGTTTATGAAATTGACAGGACAAAAAGTGAATGTCCGGCGCTTTAACTGGGTTGGTCGACACAGAGGGTAAACCCAGGGGAGTTGAAAAACCCTGATTCCAAACCAGTGGTGCACATGGGCTCCAGTACCCTGTGGGAACAAATGTTGTATGAACCAATCGTTGGTTACCGGCTACCATGGGACTACAATCAGTCAGCTTCAACGTAGGACCAGGCACATAAATGCATCTGTCCAGGTTGCCATATCGCATTAGCACAGAAAGATGAACACCGGATTCATAAGAGTGGCTAAGTCAATGGTGGTAATATATAGAAGATAGATTGCATATAAGGATATAGTACAGGAATAAAGAATTAGTTAGTAGAAAGAAAGACAATTTCAATCTCACGGATTAAGGGAAGACAAAGAGTGTATACACCGACGCCATTGTGATCGATTCTGAGCCATGTCACACAAAGAATCCAACCATTAGTCACGATAGTCACGCGGACCCCAACCAAGTAGTCTGCATCTACCAACATGGCCCAGACTAGAAGTTAGTGACTTCAACCATGATAACCATCTAGCGAACAAAACCCAAAACCAGTTAGCATTGCACGTCGTGGTAATCGATGTTTAGGCATACGTAACACGTGGCCCAACCATCTCAGTCGATGATGAATCACAACCTCATCAACTGATTTACCATCATTCCCTAATACCCTGCGTCTAACCTCACTATTACCTACCCAATGATCCCAGCAGATGCGACCAATATTTCTCAGACATCTGCGATAAAATACTAGTAGCTTACCAGTATCTTCTACTGTTAATGGCCACGTTTCGCTGCCGTAATTTAAAACAGAACGGACTGTTGCGCAGTATACTCGTCCCTTAATTGATAGACGGATATGTCACCCTCGCCATAGGTGACGTAAGTTGGCAAAAGCCAAGCCAGCTTTTCGAATCCGTGCTGAGATTTCGTCAGACACCAACCCATTTGGGCTGATCAGACTTCCAAGATAAGTGAAGTTGTCGACGCGTTCGACTACTTCACTCCATATCCTTAGTTCAGGTGTTGACGCAGACCGGTCCTGAAGCAACAACTTGCACTTGGAGGGAGGGAAGCGCATGCCAAACATTCTGGCATTGTTGCTCAGTGCTACCAAAAGACTCTGCATTCTATCAGCGTCTTCACCAAACAGGACTATGTCATCCGCGTATTCTAGTCGATAAGTGGACCTCCTGGAAGGAGATCAATACCCGAGAATTCAGTAGACGAGAATGTTATTTCCATCAATAGGTCTATGATGAAGTTAAACAAAAATGGAGAAAGTGGGCAGCCTTGACGGACACCACTTGAGGTTGCAAAAGCAGATGATAGTTCGCCATAAGCTCTGACTCTACTGGTAGTGTTCGAGTAAAGAGCCTTCACAAGGTTTATGTACTTCTGAGGCACGCCTTTCAATGACAGACACTGTCACAGAATCTCGCGGTCTACCGATAAGTATGCCTGTGTTCTAGAACCTAACGAATGGTGAAGATGCGGTCGATGCAGCTAAAATTAAGTCTGAAGCCAGCCTTATTTTCTCGTGTTTGAAGTTCACGAGTCTTAGTTAGGCGTCCGATAATTATCGAGACTAGTATTTTAGATACTATATTAGTCAAACTAATCCCTCTATGGTTGGCACAGGATGATTTTGGCCCTCTATTATATATTGGGACGATAGGTGATTGTGACCAATCAAATGTGACTACGTCCAACTCCCAGATTTTAGCTAAAATACTAGTCAACCTAATCGTTAAAATTGGACCACCATCCTTAAAGACCTCTGAAGCCAATCCATCTACCCTTCCTCGTTTCAGATTAACTATAGCCTTCTGAACTTCAGCTGGAGTTGGGGAACCTACTTCAATGTTTCATTCACACTGTCTGAGAATGGAGGGTAGTTGTAGAGTAGCTGAAGGCCAGATGAACTGTTCTCTAAAATCTTCTAAACATCTGGATTGGGAGCAAATGAGAGTGTCGTCTTTTTCCGAAATAGTCTGACTTACACTTGACTTATTAGTTCCAGTTTCCTTTATTAGTCTGTAGGGCTGTTTTGTGTTCCCTATAGTCGCCGCCTTTTCCATTTCTTTTGCTTTCGTTGACCACCACTGCTCACGGTCTTTTCTTAGACTTTTGCTTAACCTAGATCTAATTTGTTTACGCTCTTCATCGTGTTCAGAATCTGATGGGATGAGTTTGTGAGAATCCATCAGTGCAACAGACCTTGAAGAAATCTATTGGTTTTTTGTAACCCTGTGGTTTAAATCACTGACAGATGTCACTGCTGTCTCCACAGCTGCTTGTATGTCTTTCCAAGCAACATCTGGGTCAGCCTCGTTTTCAGAACTACCTCAATGTGACATCAGTTGTTCCTGGAACCTACTTTTGCTTTTCTCGCTACACAATTCAGTTCTAATGGGTCTTTTTACTGAGGCTTTTTTGCGTCCAGTGAGGCGCAAGCAGATGCGTGCCCGTATTAGGGTATGGTCGGAGTCCAAGCAGGTACTCCAGAATGAGCGACAATCTTTTACCGACCCTCTTCAACGATGACTGATGGCAATATGGTCTATTTGAGTCCATTGTTGGTTTGATGCAGGGGGTCACCAAGTTCGTAGATGTCTCTCCTTATACTTAAAATTAGTGTTTTCTAAGAATAAACGATTGTCTGAGCACAGTTGCAGCAGACGATCACCATTATCTGTTCGTTGTACCAGAATACTAAAATACCCACCTAAATGCCTTTCTGTTTGGTTTGAACTACCTATCTGGGCATTAGAGTCACCTGCTACGAGTCTGAACGTTTAGATTTCTGAAGAAGTTCAGAGAGCTTTCTGTAAAATTCATCTTCCACTTCATCCGAGGTGCAGTCAGTGGGAGCGTAGGCAGAAACGACAAGAAGGCAACGACGTGTCCCTATCCTTCCGAATTCTTACGGAGCCGTTTAGCCGAACAGCACATAGACGACTGTTAACGGGGATCCACTCCAACAGTGCTTGTTCTGCTCTCATGCTTAGTGCTATACCCACACCTGCCAGTCCACGAGAACTGGCCATCGGGTCACCAGATACACGGAGGGTGTTTTCTCTTCGGCTCTCCGTTTTTCGAGGTGAGATCAAGTGAATGACCACGCTGGGATCCTGTATGTGTGTTTCGGAGAAACAGCATACATCAATGGTACGAGATTCTAGGGTTTTAGCCTGCTGACCGATTTGACATAAAGTGCGTACGTTGGAGGCTCCAATGTGTAGTTTGGAGCGAAATTTCAGTAGAGCTGGGACAGCGTTTTGCGCACTGAAATCGTTGGCTATGGTGACACTTGAGGAGGAAGCCAAAAGATGAAGTTTAGAGGTGAAAGTCGATGTAGAAGGAATAATAGGAATTGAAGAGGGAGGTTGATTGTGAATACAGTGGTCTTGGGTGCTGTTAGAGGTACGAGGGCGGTTGTCACTTCCCGGTTGCTCACACCGTGGTAGGGTTCTTCTGGAGGTACTTGAAAATGAAATTGGATTATAGGTGGTCTTAGTGACCTGAGAACGTGACCGCAGTGCCCAAGGGACGACTGCTTGACATCGGTCACACATGACCTTTTTATGAGTAATTTTTGTGTTACCTCCGTGCTTGTTGAGACCTTACCACCGGAGACGGATATCCGTGGGATAAGGTGAGATGTGCATTTCTAGGGTCGATCTTATCTAACCCCATTCCTCCTTGTGAGAAGGCAGCATCGCTGCCATGCTGGTTGTCTGAATGAAACACTCTACTGCTGTCACACCTCTGTAGTCAGCAGTACGACTTCGCCTTCGGACCTTGGGTTTGTTGCTTTTAGTCTTACAGCTCTTCAACTGACCTGTCTGACATGGTAGGACCTTGAGGAACGGTTGTTCCAGCCAGCATAGCTCGGTTGTTTCATCACGATAGGCAAGCCTGACGACCACATCAAGGTAGCAACAACGGTCGGGACCATGGGACTGCATCTCCTTACGATGCTCCACTGCCTTGTGGATCAGACCTTTAGGTCGAAGGCTCCGGGTGTGGCATCCTAAGACAACCACATGCTTCGGTTTGGGCACCCAAGCATTATCAAAGCCCTCACACAAATCAAATGAGATTTATGTGGTGCATATGTGTTCGGTTCCCCTTTGTACCAAGATTTATGTGTTCAAATAAATAAATAATGTATGTTGGGAACTCTTCTAATCACTCAGTCAATCGTATTAATATTACTATGTTCAAAAAATTATCAAAACAACATAATGTACAAATCGTATGCATATGGAATGCTAGATAATCTTGAAACAATAACAACAATAGTGAAACTAAACAAAGTTTCACGAAAAATTATTCAGGTTGTTAGAGGAGAAGAACTAGGTTAGGAGTTGTTTCAGAATGTGTGTAAAACAACAAGCTGAATTGTTTGCATATCCTTTACAACACTAATCAAACGAAATTATGGTCAGCGTGAACATGCAAAATATCTTGAAAACACTGATGATTACAAGACCGGAATGCTAAGTTTTATTTTACTGGAGAAATAACGAGACCAAGAATTAAAATTACATCCTGTGGAAACTGCTAAGTTACGTGAACTCAGCTAGTATTTCATTGAAAATCGCAAATAATAACTTCTTGAAGGAAGTGTATTCGGGAAATCTTGAAAGCTTTGTAATATATGTTGCCCCAAACGTTTTACATAAAAATGTACATATAAATGTAAATAACAAGTATACTAACCGTTTATCACAAAACGCCTTTCTTTTATAACGGAGCGCTTTCGCTTGAACTCCATACCATCATATACATTTATATTTGAATTCACATTTGGAATGTTCCCACTAGAATCTTCTGTAACTATAGTTCCCAAAGCGTTTGTACCATCTGTCTTTATTTTAAAGTCTTTAGATGATAAAAACAATGTATTACCTCCTCACCCAATGAACCATCGCACAATTGCACATCCATAATATTATTTAACAGTTAATTATAGTATTGTTATTCACTAAGTAGTTAACAATATACGTGTTGTCGTATTACAAAATGTACTTCACTGAAGTTCTTTCTGAAATGGAAAAAACGTAGCAGTCTGAAGCTCACTTCGAAAACCCACACATTCATATCAATTTTTCTCGAAACTTCTGCTTTTTAGTGATTTACACTATGTAGAAGCACCTGTCTAGATACATCGACATGAATTTACGAAATACTCAAAAGATAAGTACATCTGAACTTAAATTCAATTCTTTATGTGAAAGTCACTCGAAATTTACGTTATCTTAGAAAAGTGGGTCATACTTACATAATTATTACCAAGTGTATTTCAAAAAAGAGAACAAAATAAAAGTTGAAAATAAGTTAACAAACACATGAGATTACCTGGTCATTAGTACTTTAAAAATACGCAATTAATAACGTTGAAGACCACAATATATCAGATGCGATAAATTCAGGATTATTTTCTGACGCACACTATCAATATGTGGTCTAAATCTGCTAACCAAAACGTATTATCAGATCCTTCGGGGTTGCATTCTACTGAGGTAATGAGATTCGGTAAGCTGGTCAGTGATGAGCTTTGACCTGAATGGATCTTAAAATTAATGCTAGGAAGTAGTGAGAAACAAGACTATTATAAGAAATCCACAGATTGTTTGGAATTGGAATATATGTAACTAGCTGAACTCGCCAATCGAAGATCGGATGAAATAGAGAAACTCTTTATCCAAGTCAATGATTCGACAGGAGGGTAGGTACAAAAACTTTGGAATTCGGGTTTGATTTGTAGAGGTTTTGACATATACTGTTATTGGTATACTTGACTGAATTTTGATTAATCCTAGTTGACAAATGTGTATTCTGTGCGAATTGCATCGATACTTTTTTTAAAGTTCTATAGAAGTGATAGATGTTGGCTATCAATGGAATACAGGACGTACATTTCGTCCCACCCGCAACCCGTTAGCTGGTGCAACTGCATCCCAGAGTTGATGCTCAGCCCGGAATTCGAACCCAGTGTCTTTAGCTTCAAGTGCCAGTATATTAGTTGGCATTTGAAGTGGAAGGTATTGAATTCAAATCCCATGGTGAATATCGACTTTGGGATGCAAGTACTCAGTGAACAAGTCCCAGACAGGAGCGAATGAACGTCCTGGATTCCACTGTTAGTCTACCTCTTTCATAAAACTCAGAATTTAGGGCTTTTAGTTGATGAGGTTTTGGAGACCGATGCTCCAGAAATCCCTTAAGCGCCCTGAGCTTACACTGAATAAGCATTTGCAACCTTAGAACTAACTCGTTAGCGCTATGCTTTTTGGTGGAAGAATTGAGTAATTACAGTCACTATCATAAAAACATGGTTCGTAAGATATCTGGAAATTACTACTTCTCATAGAGTACATGCTTACACTTTTACTCATGTAAATTTATGCACTGGAGTCATACGGCAGTGAAAAATGTGAATAGACAGTCGTTTAATCATTTAAAAGTAGGGTTTGATGACCAGTAATGTACCGTAGCTCAAGCTGTCTTGAAATAACTTTATAAGCAGAGATAGTGGTGGCTAGAAGTCAAATCCAGTAATAGACTGATTAGTTGCAGTGCTAAACATCAATGAGAAGATTCAAACAACCAACACAAAAATGGGGATGACTATGTTTTCTTTCGGTATTCATCGTGATAGTTTTATTTCTTGTACTGATGTGGCCTGACAACTAGAGCCGATAGACATTTAAGCCATGATCTAGGTTGTTTTTTTATTACTTTTGTTCTCAGTTGCATCTGTACTTGGAGCAAGACTGACGGTCATTCTGTCTTTGCGAATTCAAACGGACCCTATATAAACAGAAGCCCTTCATTACCCTTGTTAACAGACAACCTACGACTGTGGAGTTACAAGTACTGGTGATGATAGACTAAAGCTCTTATTTAATGCAAGTGAAATAGATGTTGCAAAAGTTAGCCCCTAGGAATAAACTTTGGGGTTGATAGCCACTAATACACCGATCGTATACCACTTTCATACGTTTTGATATAAAAAGCTTTGATGTAATCATAAGTCATGAAAACGACTAAATACTGCAATGTAATAGCTGCTAAGACGATTTGTGGGTTACGGCCACTTCAGAGAAAGTGGTCACACAAAAGCTTTGTATGTCATCTACAAAATAGTATATTCAAAATGCTATATGTAAGCGTTAAATACGCAATTAATTAAAGATGCAGATACTTTCGAACATGTACAAAGAGGTACTAGTTTGATAATAGGACATTACAATATCTCTTATGAAGCGAAGGTTATTCGCTTGGCTCTATTTTTGTCGTGAGATGATCTCACACCGGGGTCCCGTATTTTATATAACAAATTACTTGGGTCTAGTCTCTTTGTTCCTCTAAGAGCCCCATCAGTGAATACTTTCAAGGAGAAGCTGGACCTTTACTGGAGAGCAGTGTGTCAGGATTAATACAGGTTCATCAACCTACTATCCTTATTACTGAAAACTGGAACCATTTTAGAGGCCATCACAAAAAGGTTTTCAAACTACGATCGAATAAACTTGGATTATGATTTCGTCCTTATAGAAAGACCAATTGATGGGAACCCCTACTCGAAAGTGATATTGGACTTATCAGTGAGCGATTCCAAAGAGAAAACTGGATCTTCACGGAAAAATAAACCACAAGTATCATTGAAGACAAGCCACCATATCTTAATTGCTAAATATTGAGTAATTGTGGTGTTTGTATGAACTAATGATTCCTTTGTACTTGATGTCTGCCTGATTTCGAATTCCAAATACAATACGAGCATTAGCGCTCATCTAGGGAAAAAATAAAACACGAAACCCGTCAAAATGATACATATTTAGGTTGCCAAGACCCACTAATCTATTGAAAAGCTAAGAAAACTAGGAATTTTCCTCATGGTAACTACAATGTCGTTCATGGTCTGTCATCTTACCTAAATTGTATTTTTAGTAAAAGCTGAGCGGAGATAGCGTTGGCTGTGACATGAAAATCTAGCTAACATACCTTTTTTTATTTTTGTATTTGCTACTGCCTTTTTGTTCGTTGTTCAGTAGGTAACTTGTTGAAATACCCTGAGCTGAGAATTCTATATTGTACCAAAATATAATATTGAATAAAGCCATTAATAATAATAAGAATAATAATTGATTAGTGGTCGAAGGCATATGTGTTAATGTGCAGAATTAGTTTGGTAAAGGATTTAACAACAATCAGAATATTAGTTCTCGTGGGTACATTGTATCAAGAAGCCGTTTAGCTTATTTTTGTGGCCAATTACAACATAGTTGTGTGCAAGTTCATTGAATCTTTGATGTAAATACAAACTATTTATATTATGTATTTCCCTTTCTCTGTCCTAATTCTAATATCAAACTGAACCCAGACAACCCAAAAAGGGGAAATAATGGGGAATAAGGGGAAATAAAGGGGTAAATGCTTTGGTGGCGAAAGGGGAAGTAAAGGAGAAAACGCGCCAGAATGATGAGGGTGCTTTTTTCCTTATTTCACAAAACTATAGTTTCGTAATGTTAGCAGATCTGAAAACATCCAGAAATGCTTATAAATTGTAGTCTTCCACTGTAGCTACATGTATTAGGACTTAATTAAGTATGCCTATAACACCAAATATTTGGTGTTATAGATTCCATGGAATCTATGAATAAGCTTTAGAATAACTTCGTTAGTGAAGAAAAGTTTTTCTTTCAAATGGATATGACCTCAAAGTGAAATAAAGGTATAAATGATAAAGAAATACCACCATGATAACACCTATGCTTCGACTTACCGACTTCTTTGGTTATGAGTGACGTCCTTGTATTATTCCCAAAAACACCAATCAGAACTGTCCTATTCAGCTATTGGCTGCTTTAGATTAAGTATTTTGAGTGTTGCACGAAGGTTAACCATCTATAAATCTATGTCCAATTTCATTAAGTTTTAGTGACTGAATTTTTTTAGTTCATTCATCTATGTTGGATGTCATGGACTGAGTGTCTTACTTGATGATTTTGTTTTGTTGTTTCTACAACGTCATTGTAGTTGTCGCTGTTTTAGTTTCTGTTCGAGTTTGAAAAGGACATGAGTCTGAGTGGACTGTGTAAGTCCTGGAAATGGTAATCTGTCAGTGGATCCAACCTTCAAAATTGACTATTGGAGATTCAACCAGATTTTAATGTTACAAGTTTCATTTGTTGATGGTTCTATGGGAAATTCGGCAGTCAGTCGATTAGTAATTTGTTCAGTGTTTGTGAACATTTTAGTGTTCTCGTAAATTCTTTGTTTTAGAAGATGAAAAAATGATGGCAAATTAGATTAAAACCTCTCGATATTGGGACTTAGTCTCTTTAGTACCCAAGTGCCTAAATCTCTCCCACATTCTTTTCGTACGGAGAAGAGTGACAACCTCTTTGCTTAACCATGGTGGAAAGTTTCTCGGACTTCTTGGTGTAGTCCAAGGGATGTACGATGCAGTGACTTTTATGCATCGTTTTTTGACTACCTACCGAGCCGTTTCAATAAGGGATTCAGGTTCTATTGTCCAATCTACTGAGGGCGAAGTGTATATAAGATCTTCAATATTTACTTTCCAGACGTTTGGTTTGGCTCGGGGTGACAAATCCTCATTATTGACAACTAAATGGAAATTAGAGACTAGAAATGCATGATCATTTTGTACCTAGGGTCGATGTATAATGAAGGTTTGCTACGTCATCCTTATAATGGTTGAATATGAGATTTAGTAACTCCACCTGTGGCTCTTCTAGAGTTACAGCCGGTCCCAAGCCCGGGTAAAGGATGAGGGTTGGGCGTGGGGTTAGCGTCCCCATTCAGTAAAAATCTAACTCGCTAAAAAAACGCTAACCAGAAAAAGTAATTAAAATCATTTAAACTCTGCCCTGGGAGTTAAATTGTCTTCATTTATAAGAACTATGACGCCTCATGGGGAAAGCCGATTTTCTTCCGAAGCCACGAGGTCGATGCCCCTTCTAACAACCACAGCAAAAATTTTTATAGGTACATGGAACGTTCGGACAATGTGGGAGACTGGGAAGACCAGTCAAATAGCAATGGAAATGAGTAGATACAACTTGACAGTACTGGGAATCAGCGAAACCCATTGGACCCAAGCTGGACAGAAAAGGCTAGCTACATGAGAGATGTTGCTATACTCCAGTCACAAAGAAGAAAATGCTCTACACACTCAGGGAGTCGCTTCAATGTTATCAAAAGTAGCACGAAATGCTCTTGTAGGATGGGAATCTCACGGATCCAGAATCGTCAAAGCATCATTCAAAACCAAGAAGGAGGGGATCTTAATGAATGTTATCCAACGTTATGCACCCACCAATGACAGCAACGACGACAATAAAGATCGATTCTACGAGCGGCTGCAGTCAATCATTGAGAAATGCCCAAGAAAGGAGCTAACTATTCTGATGGGAGATCTAAATGCCAAAGTCGGAATAGACAACACCGGATATGAAGATATTATGGGACGACATGGACTGGGAGAAAGAAACGAAAATGGAGAAAGATTTGCAAATCTGTGTGCATTCAACAAATTGGCCATAGGCGACATAATATTTCCACACAAACGTATACACAAAGCTACATGGATCTCACCGGACCACACTACAGAGAACCAGATAGATCATATTTGCATCAACAAAAAATTCAGAAGGACAATGGAAGATGTGAGAACCAGGAGAGGCGCTGACGTAGCTTCAGATCACCACCTAGTGGTGGCCAATTTAAAACTGAAGCTAAAGGAGAACTGGACAAGTGGACAAACAGCACTACAAATATTCAATACTGCCTTCCTTCGAGATACTGACAGACTCACTGAATTCAAGATAGCTCTCAACAACAGGTTCCAAGCTTTATAGGATCTGCTTAAAGAAGAGGAAACCATTATGGAGGACAACTGGAAAGGTATCAAAGAAGCATTAACTTCAACGTGCCAGAAGGTTCTGGGTCTCAAGCAGCATCATCATAAGGAATGGATCTCCATAGAAACACTGGACAGGATCAAAGAAATGAAGAACAAGAAGGCAGTAGTTAACAACAGCCGAACACTAGTAGAGAAAGTCCAAGCACAAGCCGAATACATAGAAGCAAACAAACAAGTGAAGAGGAGCATGAGAGCCGAAAAGAAGAAATACGTAGAAGAACTAGCAACGACGGCGGAAAAGGCTGCAAGAGAAGGAAATATGAAACAGCTTTACAATACAACGAAAAAACTAACAGGGAAATATTGTAAACCAGAGCGACCGGTTAAAGACAAACAATGCAGTCCAATCACTGAAATTCAACAACAGCGGAATAGATGGGTAGAACACTTCGAGGAACTCCTGAATAGGCCGACCCCAATGAGTCCATCGGACACCGAAGCAGCACACACAGATCTTCCTATAGATGTCAATACACCAACAACGGAAGAAATCAAAGTGGCCACTAGACAAAACAAGAGCAGGAAAGCAGCAGGATCCGACAATATATCAACCAAAGCACTGAAGTCAGACATCGAATTAACTACAAACATGCTTCACGTCCTATTCAAAAAGATTTGGGAACAGGGACAAGTGCCGATGGATTGAAAAGAAGGACACCTCATCAAGATTTCAAAGAAAGGAGATCTGAGAAAATGTGAAAACTACAGAGGCATTAAACTACTGTCAGTAGCAGAGAAAGTCTTCACCAGAGTGTTGCTGAACCGGATGAAAGACGCAGTAGACGCCCAACTTCGAGATCAACAAGCTGGATTCCGTAAGGATCGGTCGAGCACAGACCGAATTGCGATACTACGGATCATCGTTGAAATATCAATTGAATGGAATTCATCACTATACATCAACTTCATTGATTATGAGAAGGCATTTGACAGTGTAGAGAGGAGAACGTTATGGAAACTTCTTCGACACTACGGAGTTCCTGAGATTTTCAATATTATCCGAAACTTGTACGACGGACTACAGTGCAAGGTCGTACATGGAGGACAGCTGACAAATGCATTCCAAGTGAGGACCGGAGTCAGACAAGGCTGTCTACTCTCTCCCTTCCTCTATCTTCTGGTGGTCGACTGGATTATGAGGACCTCGACATCTGAAGGAAAACACGGCATACAATGGACAGCTCAGAACCAATTAGACGATTTGGACTTCGCAGATGACCTAGCCCTCCTATCACGTACACACGAACAGATGCAGATGAAGACAGCCAGTGTAGCAGCAGTCTCTGCATCAGTAGGCATCAACATACACAAAGGGAAAACCAAGGTCCTGAAATTCAAAGCGGAGACCAGCAATCCAATCACACTTGACGGCGAAACTCTGGAAGATGTGGAATCCTTCACATACCTGGGAAGCATAATCGATGAACAAGGAGGTTAAGACGCAGACGTACAGGTGAGGATTGGCAATGCAAGGGTCGCACTCCTACAATTGAATATCATACGGAACTCAAAACAACTTTCAACCAATATCAAAGTGAGAATCTTCAATACCAACGTAAAGGCAGTTCTACTGTATGGAGCTGAAACTTGGAGAACTACAACAACAAAAAACGAGCTTCCAGCTGAAGAGGGAATTAGGAAAAGACGATGGAAATGGATAGGACATACATTACGCAAGTCGTCAAACTGTATCACGAGGGAAGCCCTAACTTGGAATCCTATAAAGAAGCGGAAAAGAGGAAGGCCTAAGAACACATTACGTCGGATAATAGAAGCAGATATGAGAAGGATGAATAACAACTGGAAGGAGTTGGAATGTATTACCCAGGACAGGGTTGGGTGGAGAATGTTGGTGAGCGGCCTATGCTCATTCACGAGAAGTAACAGACACTGGTGGTGTGGTGGTGGTGATGAAAATTATTGGAAATTATTCGAAGTCTGAGACTCACTTCGTTGCTCATTTCTGTTTGAAGGAATTTTCTGAAAACTCAGTCCTTCGATGTTTTTCAGTCTATCCTAGTTGTATTAAAGTCTTCTAAGATTACAAGTCGACCACTTGATGACCAAGTGCTGAAACCATATAGCAAGACCTCAGTCGCCTCACACTAAATCAATCAACAACTCTTGTCCTTTGGATTCCAAGCTACAACTAAACAACACGTCTCGATTTCATGGGATGTGTTTTCATCGACGGCAAACGGGTGAGCATTTCTAATGAATAGAGCTACTCCTCCTTTACGCTTCTGGAATCTATTGGCTCATATCAATGTGACACTTTCGAAATCAACTTTCCCGTGGTCTGCAGATTGTGTCAGCCAAGCTTCTGTGACAACGGTTACATTCGGCTTGGAAGAGTCTCTGAACACCTAGCTCCGCTCGCTTATGTTAGCAAGCTCAGTGCATTTATATGATAGATCCGAATACCACTTAAAAGTTCATGCTGTATCCAAAGCGGTTCCGGAATCATTTTTTATCGAAACCTTGCCACCTGAGAATTCATAATTTTAAGGTCCTTCTTATCAGCATCTAACCTTAGTTTAATTTCTTTTTCAGCTTCTCGTCTGTTTAAAGTGTCCGCAAGTGGCAAATCTTGACGGACAAAACCCATGACCCCTTAGGTTAATTTTCATTTCTTGTTCTTAATTTGTACTCATCAACCAACTTTCTTTGGAGTAGCAATCACAGTTGCATTACTCACACTATGCGCCCCTGGATGATTATCGATGATTAGGTGGTAAGGTTTCCTTTCCTGCTAGAAACAGAGGTGGCGTTGCTAATAGGCTTTCTGGACGTTTCCTGTCTGCTTCCATTTGGAGTGCGGGAACAGAAGAAAATTCTTTACCTGAGTCATTATTCCTAACAGATATCTCTGAACTTGGTCCTTCGTTCTTTGGCCGTTTCAAGTCAACTGAATCATTTAAGTAGCTCATCATCGCGATGACGCGAATGGTGGGAAATCTTTGGG